TGTTTCTGATTTAACCTGTTTAACATTCAGATACCCACCTGGTTCTCCTTTAATTTCAGTCAGCCCTCCAAAGTAGAGTTTATTGTTGTTCATGGATGCGCAGGTGTAAACACCACTGTCTGCCTTTTTCTCGAACGATATAATGTCCAAATATGGCTTACCACTCTTGTCTACAGTGGTAATGTATTTCTCCTTATTTAAGGGTTTTTCCTTTATGTCTGATTGTTTAACAGTGAATAAAAAGTCGGCACCTGTACTCTTTATTCGAAACCAGAATGTCAAGGCGCCGGACTGTTCAGGGACACAACTAATTCGAATCCTCTGTCCTTCTTTATAGATCTCTGCAGAGACTCCTTGAGACAAAGAAATGTGTTTAGATTAAGAAAAAACAAGACTAATGCATGTGTGAAGAGAAATTTTATATGGTCACATTAAAAGTCATGTGCAGCTGAATTTCATTGTATTTAGTGGTGTGAAAATAAAATTAACTTGTTTCACCATTGAATTAACTGAAAGTAACATGTAAGTAGCTTTTTTATACTTTTAAGCATCCCAATACAAATATATATCATCATTTTTGTGTTGTATCATCATTTCCATGCCGTTTCTGTGCTGAGGTACAGTAGTAGGCTAAATGTTAAATAAAAATGATTATTTTACAGTTTAAATGACTGTTTAATGGCTGTACATAAAAACAACATGCAAATTATATTTGGTCTATTCAAAATCATAAACAATCTGTCAGTCCTGTACATAGGCTATTTCATATTTTTCATAAGACTTCATATAATGTAATTGCAATATATGAGAAAATGTTCAACTCACCACAGAAGAGAGACAAACTCACATAAAATCCAATGTATATTTGATACATTTTTTCAATTCTCAGCAAAGACATTCAGTTCTTCTAACAACAGGAACAAAACTACTGAAAGAGTGAAACAAAATCTCCTCGTCTGCCCCTCCCAAACCCTCACTGCCTTGGTTTTCAGCTGTACTGCAAAACTGTACTAATGAAAATAACTGTACTATAAATGTAAAATAATACAAGCTTGTAATGTACTATTAATGCTACTAATTGTGACAATATATATAAATAAAACATATATATATATATATATATATATATATATATTTAAAAAATAAATAACATTTAAAGATATAAAATAAGTGGCCTAGCAACAAAAATAAAATGACTAAATGTTAGATAAACAGCATACATTGTGTACATTCCATGTAGGTGAAGTTAAAATAAGGTTTATAATCATTTCACTACTTTTAGTTTCTGTATATATTCACATAGCAGCTAATGGGGGATGTTTTCACATTTTTCACAGTGTGATATAAGTTGTCACGGTGCTTTGTATTAAACACAATTTAAACAGTAAAACAATTATTGGAACCATAAAACTATACAAGAAACAAAACAAACAAAATGCTGAAAGATGGAATTGTAATTGTGCAAAAAAAAAAAAAAAAAAAACGTAGCCTAAAATGATGAACATCTCTCATTATTACATTATATAATTTTGTCAGAATGTCTTATGTAGAATTTTTTGGTATGTAAACATTTCATTGTTAAAAAGTTGGTCTATAAAACAGGTGGTGGCTGTTTTTTAAGTGGTATATTGTCTCAGCGTGCACCTGAAGGGGGTCTGCACTAGCAGCAGCACGAGCACATGCACACTGCACAGGCGCGCGCAGCTCTTTGATCGCGCGTCAAACCGCATGTGACGCGCTCCCTCTGAGTGGGGCTGTACT